ATTAAGAATAAACCCACTTCTCCAGACACCACTGCACCACTGCCAGTGTGTGGAAGTTAGTGGCATCTAGTGGTGAAGTTGCAGATTGCAACTAACTGAATACCACTGGCGTCTGTATCTGACGACCTGGGAACGAGAACGGGCTGTGAAGTGTGTGTAGGAGAAAGTACGACGGCTGAGAAACAAGCGAAGAATTCAAAAAGGCTTCTGTAGAAATATGGCGGACTCCATGGAAGGTGACCTGTTATATTATGTTAAAGTTAAACTATAATAAAGAAATGACATATTTTAAAGATTTTACCAGCTTGTGATATTTAATACATGTATATAATTAATAACTTGTAGTGTTGTTGGGTGTAACGCAAGCCCGCGTCCGGGATCAATCTGACGGGGGGGGTAGCAGCCTGGTGGAGGGGCGTGGCATTCAGGAACCCCTCCTACAACTTCTAGCCTACTGAGACGCAGCCGGTGGGGGCGACGGTGGGGGAAGGGTCTTGGGCTCCTCAGGAAGCGACTTTACGGGTCGCTACAACTGAAAACACACACCGACCTATTCTCTGTTCAAAGACGCCAGCGGAGCCATCCTGACCAAAAACACAGCTTGGACAAAGAAGAAGCAGGATTGGTCACATGCCTGGACGTGGAAGGCAGTGGAACACAAAGGACTCCCCCCCTACGTCAGCTGTTGCAATGGTCTTGATCCGTATCTTTATACTATTGTTTGTATCTCATTTAACCCTTTAAGATCACATCCTCGGTCATATTGTTCAATGCACAAAAGCTCATTTATTTGTTTTTTTTATATTAAAATCAAATCATTGTGTATTCCTGTAACTAAATGTGACATGTGCTTACATCAGCCATGACTGATTTCAACCAATAATATCCCTGACATTCACCCGTCAATCAAATCTCCAACTTTAAGCGTCACACAAGCGAAGATTTATTAGTTAGCTAGCAACAGCATTTAATCACTGGGATCAGATTTTGTGGAGAGAATGATTGTCTGGTTTCCTCCTTTAAGTTGTATATTTTTCAGGTTATATTTGATTACTGAAGAAAAGAGCAACTATTTCTTGAATCCTCTCTTTATTTTAAGAAAAACTGACAAACTTTTAATGAGCATCAGGATCCAGACCTTAATTAAATACACACAGTGACAATAATATGGATCAACTGATACTCATAACTGTTGACTGTTTATTCATTGGGATTATTACATTATTACCGTCCAGCACTGGGGAGGTATTATTTTAAAATGTAATCCGATTGCAATTATTTACTTACATACATATGTTAATTAAAACCTAATTAATGTATCACAATAATACAGTAATTAATATAATCACAACCAAATACACAAAATAAAGACCAGAGAAAATACATGATACAGAATGACTTTTATATATTTATAAACAACAGACATTTTAACTTTTTAATACAGAAGATCTTGTTTTCGTGAGCTTTCAGGAGCATTTGTGCAGCTGGAAGTCAGAACTTTCACTGTTCTGTGGTTTATTTTAAGCATTTAGTTACTTTCTGGTATTAGTCTGTGTGATTTGTGTTATCAGATAAGATTCTGTGAATCAGATCAGATTATGTTTACAGTCCTGTATTTCCTTGTTTCTTCTCTCTCTCTCAGGTCAGAGTTCAGGTGGAGGATGTGAACGAGTCTCCAGAGTTTCAGTCCGAGGTTTATAAGGCCTCGGTTTTCAGCATCGCCCCGTATAAAACCCCTGTCGTCCATGTTAAGGTAAACGCACACAGAAAATATCCCCATACTGTAATAAAAGAGCATTGTGGGATACCTGCTCTCTGCTAACGACAGCAGTGATAATCTCTGGTTGTGTATGTGCTGTGTGGTTAATAAGTCACTGAGAAGCCGTAAAACATTTTCACTTTCATTTCACAAGTTCAAAGGTCAGACGCCGTGTCTCTGACAGTGTCCCAATCAGCCACTGGTCACCAGTAAGAGGCAGAGTTTATTAGGAATTGATGGATAAATTCAGCGAGTTGAATCAATTAATGTTAAATTTAATGTAAATGTACACATTGTAATATGAGCAGATCATTATTACAATTATCTTGTGATCACAGAGTGATGCTTCTATCTGTAGATTTCAAATACACATAATAAATAATGAACTTACAGTTGAATTCACACATGTTGGTGTTTAGATCTTTAAAAAAAAAATCATTTATGACCCCCCCACAGGCTTTGGACCCTGATGTCGGTGAAGAGGGTCAGCTGGTCTACAGCCTGTCTGCAGACAGTCCTCACTTTGACGTGGAGCCGTCCTCGGGTCTGGTGTACGTGGTGTCCATGGTGAGTCTGGCTGGACAGCAGGCTGCAGTGGAGGTGAAAGCCACGGACCCTCGAGGACTTCAGGCTACGACCAAGGTGGAGGTGAGTGAGCGAGGACTGGATGACGGAGTTCACAGTGGTTTTTATAAAAGGTAAGAACAGCGAGTCAACGTCCAGTAGAGGCCAAAACCAGCAGGATGTTAAGAGAAAAAAGTTAACTTTGAGGAAGACTGATGAAGGAAACCCTGATCACAAATATCTCATCACAAATAAGATGAAGGACGTGTCCATAAAACTTAAAATAAAAATAAAATATATACGTTTTATGTTCTTTCTGCACCGAGATTGAGACCAAGTAGGTCAACTTGTTTGTTACTGTCGGTACAGTAGGCTGATTGTTGATTGCTGTAAGACATTTAGACTTTTCCACACACTAATAATTTCACTACAGTCCCTAATTAAGCTACAAATTGTGTAAATAACTGATTTCAATGTCTTATTCTCTTCTGTCTATTAGTTTACTGCTTTCTGTACACAGTGTGTAGCTCAATGATGTTTTTATGTTTTCAGGGCTGCCATTCAATGAGAATATTTTAATTTAAAGAAAAAAATAATGTACATACCACAATGGCACTCTTCTGCCCCCAGGTGGAGGTCAAGGGAAGTGCGAGCAGCAGTGACGTGGTGGTCATCTCCCTCAACCAGCCCGCCAACGTCGTGGAGAAGAAAGTCCCCGAGTTGGAGAAGTAAGACGGGTCGAGCTCATGATCCATTCATTGTTTGGAGATTTACTCTTCCTGTTGTTGTAACTGTGTGTTCCTCTCAGGGCTCTAGGTGGTGCTCTGGGCTGGACCGTGAACATCATCGAGGTGTCCAGCGCCAACGGAGATACCTCTGGGGCGGCTGAGAGGAAAGCTCTGGTCAGATTTGTCGCTGTAGACGGAGGGGAGGTCCTTTCCTCTGAAGAAGTCATAAAGTAAGAGTTTGATTTTGACCACGGACTGAAAGAGTCGACAGATTGTTAGAGAAGGTTCCTTAAAGAGCGGAGAGGTTCTGTTGGGTCCTGATCTCTTGTGTGTGACCTGTCAGGAAGCTGCAGAGCCAATCAGCTGCTGTGACGGCAGAGCTGGTCAAAGTGTTTGGGCCGGGTGTTCACTTTGACGTGGAGATGAAGCCCTCCAAAACCTCAACGGCCCTGGCCATCGCTCTGGGCGCGTCCTGTTGTCCCTGGGATTGATCGTTGGCTGTTGGTTTTGATCATCAGGGTGAGACCCTGGAAACCCATCAAGATGTTGCTTCAGACCCGCGACGGCTGCGGTGGTGAGCGTTTAGTGCTTGTTAGACAGCGCCATCTCCAGAGACTCCTTCATAATCCTAGGAAATGTCAAAGTTTGACTTAAAATCTGAATATTAACCAAGTGACAGTCTGAATTCAATTTCCATTGCTGTTAAACAAATCCTCCTCTGCACGCCTGAGAAGTAATTTGCCCATTTCCAGCCGGTACGGCTCGGAGCCATTTTTGGGTTTTCCGTTGGCGGTAGTGGTGGAGGGTACGGAGGGTCGGTGGCAGCAAATGGATTTTTGTTTTGAAATGAAAAGAAAACCAAAATCGACTACCATTTATAAACAGGGGAACAAAACACTTATTTTATTTGTTTTAAATTAAAAAGTAACATTTAAAAACGACTCTTCTCCCCTTTAAAAAACGGAACAAACCACTGCTATTTATAAATAATAGGAAAAAACCAACATAGAAATAACAAATAAAAAGCTACCAATCACAATTTAACAATAAAACAGCCAGGAAAAAGTTGATCAGCTAAGAATCTCCAACTATCTGCAGTATAAAATCAGGATCGTGTTCACTTTCTGCCATTTTATTTAAAGTCACTGTGTGCAGTCGTCTCCCCGAAGAAAGTCACAAAATCCACTTTCAACTTAAAACCCCCCCAAAAAACTTCCTGTTTCATTAAAGAAAAACAATATTAACATATTTTTGTTAAATTTCTGACTTCTAGTTTTAGAATTTAGACTTTTGTTTTCAGTCTCTAAAATAATGAAAAGACCAGTGTAGTTTAGTCAGTGGCATCTAGATCTAAAAACGCAAACGGCAATATCTAGTCCCAGTGTTTGGTTTGTCCTTTGGGCTACTGTAGAATATTATATTCCTGTATTATAATCCATTTTTATGCCACTAAATCCTACACACTGCTCCTTTAAAGTTTCAACACATCCACATGTGTTTGACCCTCTCAGGTTCAAGGTGATGGAGAAACACGAGACGGATTCTGACAGTGAGAGTTTTGACATCAGCCGAAAAGCCGAAGGTTACATGTAAGTTCTCTGAGCATCTTTAATGTTAAATCACAACTCTACATCTGAAGTTTTTAATGGAAATCCCTCCGTTATGTTTCAGGAACCGGTTATACCCAACACCCCAACAGGTAAAATAATAAAAAACTGATTCTAATTCAAAGTGTTAGAATTAAACATTTTTAAAGGTTGAGACGAGCTGTATGAATTATTTGTGTTGCAGGAACAGACGAAGTCACAGAGGACGGACAGACAGACAGACAGGGACAGTGTGAGGAGTGAACCGGACAGACAGACAGACGAGAGACACAGCGCAGGCGATGAAAGTCACACCTCTTCTCTCTGATCTGAACACAGAGTTCAGTCCGACTGTACGGAGGCTGCAGATTGCCGCGAAAATAACTTCTACTGTGTTTGATTTTATCCACTGAATAAATTAAAAAGGCAACACGCGTTTGTTTGTGAATGACTCGAGGTGTCAAAAACTTCCCAAACATCTATAATATTTAAGTAGTTTATTATGCATTTGTGATTTATGAACTTGAATCACCAATTAAAAATGTATTTGACGCCTAAAAGCCGCTGTATTTAAGAGAGATTTAAGGGCGGGAGTGATTGTCGATGCATGAATGAGTTTCTCTAAATCTTAAATCTGTTTGTTTTAGACGATAAAATGCAGTTTTATTTATTGCCTTTAAACTCAAATGTGAATCTTTTTTTTTTTAAACAAATATTATAAATTTATTACTTAATATGGAATAATATGGACTTAATATGGACAGATATGGAATATAATATTCATAGGAATGTATTCATTAGTGTGTAAACACCTGAAAATACCAATCTTTGTGTTTTTGTTTTGTTAGAATGAGACATTTTAATTTTTTTAGTCCACCATGTCAACAGTTGCTCCTTTCCTTGACAGTAGCCCAGAAGGGACAAAATAAAACACCAACTCTAGATAGCAACATTTGCATTTTGCAGCCACCGTAGTTTCTCCTTTATGCTGCAACTGCTAGATGCCACTAAATCCTACAAACCAGACCTTTAAATAAGCTTTTAAATTATATAAAAAAGTAAGTAACAAAGTAATAATAATAATAATGATAATAATAATAATAATAATAATAATAATAATGGACTTCATGTTTAGGAAAAAGCAATACGTCCACCTCCTTAAGCGCTTTCTTTGCTTTTTTCTTTTTAAAATGTATTATGAAACAAAGTAAAAGTCTATATTAATTTATTCCAGTGGCACTCTGCAGCCTCCGTACACCCAGACGCCGCAGCAGCTGATCAGATTGCTGTTGAGTTTAGTAAGAACCGTTTTTAAGCTCATGTTCAGCCTGAGAGTCCAAAAGAGACGAATGATGAACAAAATGTCACTTTATTCCGGCGAATTACAAACAAATAAAGTTTATTTCAGGTGAAATGCTCCTTTTAAAACTTCAGTGCCAGATTTATTTGGTTGTTTTAAGATGAAGAGACTCAGTTTTGTTAACTTTAATCAGTCTACTAAGTAATATTTTAATTTAATTTCTTTATCTGTAAAATGGCTGCCATAAAGCAAACTGAGCATGTTTTATATTTATAATTTATAATTGAACAGAAACTGTCACCTGTTTTGTTGCTTTCTTTCTTTTTTCTTTTTAATGCACTTTATGAGCAAAAAAATGTAAATAATAATATGAATGCAGCTGTGCAGTAAACCTACATTCAACTGCAAATACCAATTTTCTGTGAGCAGATTGATCTGTTAAAAACAATACACTACACTATTCATTGTAATTTTTCTTTGCAATGAGATAAAATAACAACAGTTTCTACTTTCAAAGAACAAAATGTTTCATATTCAGAGCAACAAAAATATAACTGTTATTTTGTTTCATTTTATAATAACATGTGAATATCATGAGATTGTCCTCCGAAGGGTTAAGATTTTATTAATTTATTTTGATTGTTTCGGCAGCAAAAACTCCCATTAGTGACCATAAAATATTTACCTGTCTGAATAAACTAATTGTATCATCCAGAGCTTGTTTGATTTCCATTTATATTTATTTCATTTTTAATTTTTTTCATATATTTTGAATGGTAAAGACACCCTGAGATATTAAAATTTAAATTTTAAGTTAGTTAGCGGACAAGGTAAATGCTGTCTGTTTTCTGGGAATAATTGACACA